TGGTGGGAAACTACTATTCTTTTAAGTTTCAACTGTCAAGAAGATGCAAATGCTGGTTCAATTGTTATTTGGGAAGGAGTGGCACCATCTTCTCTACTGTCTCAGTAAGCACAAACTTTTAGGATTGGAGCATGTTATAAAAGTGTTATGCACACACCATTTAACATAGTTTCTCTTCTTACAATTTCCCAATTTCCTTTCCCATGTTGTCCACAACTAATACATATATGAATTCTAAGAATGAATTGAGGGGAAAAGCAATTACTGTATATATGACTGCACCAAGATTTTTTTGTGTGTGTGTGCGTGTGCAGAATTTTACTAATATATTTGTGTTAGGCATTGATAGAATACTGTCCAAAATTCAGAACTTGAATATTTTCAAAGGGAGAGCAGTATTAGTCTTTCACAGCATAAGAGGTGGGACAGATTCAGCAGTATCCATAAACCTGATTTATTCTAGGATGAGCTTTCATGAATATCAATCCAATTCCTCCAGTGGAACTGATCGAGTGATGTTAAAGCCAAAGATTTTGAAGCATAGTTGTGGCTGTAGGACAGAACGTAATGGGACACAGAAAAAACTATAATTCTGGCCATAAATCTTCAAAGAGTTATGTGAAAATTATATAGGTCTTTCAAGTAGCTGGTAGTAGTCTTTAAAGTCGTACACTAGTTCTGAGGTGTGAAGGCACTAGATCTGCTTACCAAACATCAGTGTGCTTGCAAGTAGTGGCACTTGGAGGGGGGAAATCAAAGGAAGAGTGGAAAAGGAAACAGCCGAAATGAGATATATTCCACTGCAGCCCATTAGCAGAAATATGAACAGAGGTAATGGTTTCTTGGCACACAGTGTATATTAACACAAATCCTCACAATGGTACATGTAACAAATGGATTTCCCTTTTGTTGAACCCCAAGGGACCTCTTGGTAGCAGATCTATTGCTTTCACACATCGATACTAACAAACTATCCTTTCTAACCGACACCTTCAGCTTACTCCCATTAAAGGACTATTGATCTGGAAGGGCAACAACGCTCCAGCGATGAAGACCAAGAAGGTCTCCCGTCCTTTGTTCTCTGCATGAGTATGCCAGGATAGAAATCTTTAGTAAGATTTTCCTAAGGGTTGGACACGAATCTGTCCTTGGAGCACAAAGAGTCTGGAACAAAACAGTAGACCAAAAGTATTATCCTTCATAGTGTAATTCCTTTCCTTTTTAAAAATGACCAGCTGTATATAAAATAATGTCCTGCAAGTAGAATTCAGGGAAACAGGGCAGTACAAATCTCATTGTCTTGTGTGCTAGCTTTCGATTTGCAATAGTTCTTTGGAACTGAAGAGCATTCAAAACTGTTAATATAATCTGTACTCTGAAATCATCTATTTTACCTTATATAGTGATTTGGCTGAAATAATAACAAACAGCACTGATTTGCAGTGCTATTTGTTACTGGGATCTACATGGATCCCATGGGTGCTTTGTGTGGCTTACAATCTACCATCCCAATGCTCTTCTTAGCCTTGCCACTGTTAAGGAAAACTATCCTAAATATAGCAGAGCATCCAAAAAACAAACAGGATACCAAAGTTGAGCATCATCTCCTTAGCGAGGAGAGTGTGAAGTGCCTTGTGATGTGGCTGTAAAGAATTCAGAGCTTATGAGGCAAACATGCAGAGTCCAATCTTTAAAAAAAAACATAACAGGTTTATTTACAATAATAAGAAATAACTGCATTTCTTAATAGATAAATAACTAGGTCTAAGCTGCTCTAACACCCATCTCTGCTAAAGATTCAAGGGGGGGAAACTCAATCACTACATCTCTCCTGACACACAAGCAGAGCGAGATCTCAAAGCATACAGCACATACTCTCCATACTAAAATATAAGAAGGAAGAAGTCAGATTCAAAAAGTTTGAAGTAGAAAAGTATCCATTTTAAACATCCAATCAGAATGAAAAAAGAAAGAGAGAAGAAAAAATACATTCACAAAGGCCATTCAGGAGACATAGGGGAAGGGAAACCCTTAGCCTACACTAAACAAACTGCTCCTTGTTGTGACTTGGGCAGTGTGGTGTTGAATTCCAACAGGATCGTCTCTTTTATTTTATTTGCTCAAAAATGAAACTTACTATGTCTGGAAACCCAAAGGAATGTGTCCCCCCACACATAATCCTAGCAGAAAATTGATGGGTGTTTCCTCTGCCAAATAAAAACTGTTTTTTTCCCAAATCTGGAAGTGATCTTTAAGTTCTTTTCTGATTCAAAGAAGGGGCTGGTTCAGTTTCTGGGAAGCTGTAGAGCTGGAAAATGTATATACATGTAGAGTGCCAGAGCTTGCTCCTTCAGTTGTGACCTGAGACTCTTCTTGGTTTTCGGTGACTGTCTTGGAATAAAAGGTCTTATTGGCAGTCCAACTACGCTGGACCGGCTATGTTGTCCAGATGCACGACCACCGTCTCCCAAAGCAATTGCTCTACTCCAAACTCAAAAATGAAAAACGGAATGTTGGTGGGTAGGAAAAGAGATTTAAAGTTGGGCTCAAAGCCAACCTTAAAAACTCTGGCATAGACACTGAGAACTGGGAAGCCCTGATCCTTGAGAGCGCCAGCTGGAGGTTAGCTGTGACCAGCAGTGCTGTAGAATTTGAAGAAGCACGAATGGAGGGCGAAAGAGAGAAACGTGCCAAGAGGAAAGCGTGTCAAGCCGACCCCTACCGGGACCGCCTGGAAACCAATGTCCTCACTGCGGAAGAAGATGCAGATCAACAATAGGGCTCCACAGTCACCTACGGACCCACTGCCAGTACACCGATCCTGGAAGAGTATCCTACTCGGACAACGAGGGATTGCCTAAGTAAGTAAAAGGTCCTCTCCTAGACTCTGCTAAACTCCACTAGAATGCAATCTCTGGAGAGAAAGCACAATTTTGCTCTGCTGCATAAAAACATTTTTCACTGGATCTCTATCTTTCTATATCCTCTTTACTTTTTAATACAGAGAAATGACAAGAAAATGATAACGCACACATTTCCCAAAAGGTAAAACAAAATCTTTTTTAAAAAAAAGAAAAAGAAAAAGTACATTATATGTTTTCTATCTAAACAGAATGCTCAGTCTGTCCTTTCCTACAGCTAAAATGAAAAAGTGTTTTTGTCGCAATAGGATAAACAGAGACAACCAGAAATATTTTATCCTGAAAGCTCAGATACAGATGTTCAGATTACAGTGAGTAACTCTGACTGGAAGCATAGATCATCATGACTGATTATTATTAGAATGCTTATAGGAACCAATATCTGTAAGTTAATCATAAACATAGCCATTCCATTTCTGAAGTTCCAAGTTAAACTCCAGCTGAAACTCCATCCTGAAATGACTGCAAAAAGGTTTTGGGGCACCTAATGCATGAAATAATAATTTTGTTATGCCGTATTGTTAAAGCTCCTGGTTTTTATTAGATGGATCACTATTGTGGGAGGTAAGAATTAGAAGATAGTTTGAAAGATCTCAGTTTGAAAGAGATACCTATCTTGGCTTGGAGAAACCAATATCCTTTCAGCTGAAGGAAAAAGAATGAATGTAAAGTGTATGTGTGCAAGCATATATGAGGGAAATAGTTTGCATTTCAGAAGATGCACAGAAGCAGAGAGCTGTGCCTGTGTGCAGAGACTCACTCTGAGGACATGATGTTGAAAAGCAAATCTGCTGTCTTGTAGCAAATTTCCTCCAGACCTTCCCATCTATAATACAACATAGTGGGAACTGTGAAGTCCACAGGGTAAATGTGGCACTTTTGTGGACTTGATGGGCCCACCCATTGCAATACATTCAAACACATGCATGATTAGAAACAAAATCACATCTCCAGAGGCCCCCAGAGAGTGTGATTTGCCATCTCATTCCTGTTCTTACTTCTTCCTTATAGAAAAGGTCCTGAACAAAAAACGTAAAAATCAAAAGTGACCATAAAGTAACTTTTGATTTTTAAGAAATTATGGCATGAAGCCTACAGGGATCAAGGAGTGAAGAAAATAAGGTAGGGCAACAATCAGAGACTGTAATCTCCCTAACACCATCCCATAACATGTTTTTTTGTGTGTGTTTCTGGTTAATTCTCCACACATCTGATTAAGAGCTTTAGTTTAGGAAAACCCAAGCCAAAATAAGTTTGTTAATCTTTCAGGTTCCACATAATTATTTGTTGGTTTTTCTGCAACAGATTAACCTACCAACTCTTTTGGAAACAGATAACTTAAATTTCTCCTGCCAAACTTAAGTTGTTCTTGCTGCTGTAGACTAATATGCTTATCTGTAAAAGCAGACTGCATAAGCCAACACGGACAAACCTGAAGTCTGCTCCAAAAATTTCCTATAACTAAAATGAATAACATTCAGCAAGATATTTTAATTTATATAAATGAGCTCACTAGGTCAGTACTAAACCCCACAATGATTACTGAAGTTGTCTGTGATGAATAAGGTAGGAATAGAGGCCTACATCCAACTGTTGATTGATACTAGAGTAGAGTCATTGCATGAACTACTTTTTTTTTATGTCAGGAGTGACTTGAGAAACTGCAAGTCGCTTCTGGTGTGAGAGAATTGGCCATCTGCAAGGATGTTGCCCAGGGGATGCCTGGATATTTTACCATCCTGTGAGAGGTTTCTCTCATGTCACCGCATGAGAAGCTGGAGCTGACAGACAGGAGCTCCCCCGGACCCTGGATTTGAACCATCGACCTTTCAGTCAGCAGTCCTTCTAGCACAAGGGTTTAACTCATTGTGTCACCGGGGGAACTACTGAACTTAAGTGAAGACATACATAAATTCCATTGAATTAATAGGTTTACAGTGGTTGGGTCTTGGAATGGGAGCTAAAACTCAACCTGTGTAGTACCCCCAAAAGCCAACCACTGAAAAGAATGGCCAGATGTTTAACCAGCCCTCGGTGGAATTTAGAACTAAAAGATATCCGTGGAGAATGCAAACCTACTTGAGTAGATTTCCAAGATTGAAGAGGGCTCGATTGTGCTGCGGATTGAGCTGAAGGGCCCTCTTGTAGTACTCCTTTGCCTCTGCAAGGTCTTTGGTCAACGTCCCAAGGTTGTTCAGAGCACTTGCATGACGGGGATACAACCTGCAGAACAAAAAGGAAACAGATCACTGTATTATAGGAAAACCACACAAGTATTTCCAGCATCCCTACCCTCTTCCAACTCCTAAATTTATTTATTTATTTATTTATTTATTTATTTATTTATTTATTTTATTTAATTTATTTACTGTACTTGTATACCGCTGTTTCTCAGCCTAGCTGGCGACTCAACGCGGTTTACAACAAAATACCAAATACAATAGTCAACAGTATACAATTTAAAACCATAAAAACATAATACACAATATTGGTACATCAATAACAATCCAATGCACCTCCTGACTAAAATCGTGATCCAGTTTCGTCGTCCATATTACCAATCCTTTAATCATCACATTCATTGCACCGAATTAACCAAATGCCTGTCCGAACATCCAGGTTTTTAATCTTCTTCGGAACACCATCAGCGAGGGGGCTTATCTTACCTCCATGGGAAGGGCATTCCATAGTCGAGGGGCCACCACAGAAAAGGCTATTCCAACTCAATTATTTGTCTTATACATGAAAACAAAGAGAATGTTGTGTATTTTAATGTGTTGTCTTTTAACTATGTTGATCGAGCTTGTCGCCATGTAAGCCGCCCCGAGTCCCTTCAGGGAGATGGAAGCAGGGTACAAAACTAAAATTGTAGTAGTAGTAGTTGTTGTTAGGCTGTATCTTCTTTTTTTTAACCCTATGTCCACTCAGTCACCAGAGTTCTCTGGGTAGTTTGCAGATACAGTACAAAACAAAGAATAACAAAATACAACAATCTATATCACACAAAAGCCCCAATGATGATGATAACCTGCAAGCAAGGGGTAAAACCACGGAAGCACTTAATAAAACTAAACTAGCACGAGCAGCAAAATGAAGCACTAGAAAGGCATAAAACAGTTATTACAATGCAGGGAGGGAAATAGGTTCCATGGATAAAGAACTGGTCAGCATATATGGACTACTTCCTCAGTACATGACAATGTTGTAGCAGCAAAAATACTTTTTGCTCACACTTTAAAATAGATCATTAAGGTTGCCAAGTTAGAGTCAATTGTTAAACGAATATGAGTTTTAAAGAGTATACCACCTGAAGATATTTTTTTGAAAGATTAAAAACGGTTTATCGACTTTTTGAGCAGTAATAAATCTAACAATGGAATAATGTGTGACAATGGTTACTAGAATACAAGACAGCTTCCATAGGTTTGTTCTGAAGTTGAAGTTGTATGGTCCAAAGACCTTTTTTTGCTCCGAAGTGTACAAAATACGCAAGCTTAATAGGATTAACAACAGCTGATTGATTCCACACACAGTTGGATGAAATTAGCAACAATTAAAATTGATTAAAATATGGGATTAAAGCTGATTGAAGCCATCCAAGATGGCTGTGAACATAGGTAAAAGACTGCAAGTTTTGGATAGCATAGGGATGGGTTAACACCTTTTGTGGTGTTTGTTTTGCTGTCAATGCTCCTGTTCAGAAGATTTTACCTCACTTTCTGACCCTGTGATCATTGGATTTTGAAAAATGTGGCTTGTTTTGGAAACAAGGATTGGTGAGAAAGCTTCAGTTGAGACACCTTTTCCCCACGATAACTCCTTCAGGAGTGAATTTCCCTTCCTAGGAGTAGATTTCTCCCACTTGCTGTTGTATCACTTCAGTTTGTAATTGTGAGTTGTTTGTACTTGGATGTTTGTAACTCAGAGACTGCCTGTAATGTATCTTCTTTTGCCGGAGGGGGCTCTCATTATGGTTCGGATTGGGGATCTGGGCCCTTTTGTGTCTTAGTTAGCATTTAGTGTTTTAATTAGTTAGTGCTTATTGATTTAATTTAATGCTGTAGTGTTGTGTTCAGTTGAGTGTTTGAGCTTTCGTCTAGTTTTCGTCTTAATTATATCTGCTCCCTAAGCTGCTGCTCCTCAGAGAGCATGGTCTCCAAGGAGAGGGAATCTTGGATTATGCCTGACAGGGCCAACCTCCAACTTCTTATCTCATTATTGGGATGTCATAGTCATGGGGAATGAGTAACCACTTGTTATCTGAGTAATGAAAAGCAACATCACTTGTTATAAGTGTTCTTAATTACAATGGGCACTATATTTCCAATGGTTTGGGGGTTATTTTGAGGCATTTCTGGTATTTTTCAAATGTACTTAAAACCCCATTTGATGATTGAACAAGTTTACTTACTTCGTTTTTATTTACTTCATTTTTACCCCACCTTTCTCACCCGAGGGAACTCAAGGAGGCTTACAGCTTCGGCAAGAATTCAATGCAAGTAATAACCAACAATAAACAGTAAAAACATGTCCCACAGTTAAAATGATTAATAATTAATAAAACACATAAAATATAAATTAAAAACATATAGGGTGCATAGTTTCATTTATCCAATAACCTTGCTCAAATTCTTAACTCAGATCATGTCAAAATCCATAGTAACTTATTCTTCAAATGCTTGTGTGCAAACCCAAATCTTTAGCATTTTTCTGAAAGCCAGAAGGGATGGAGCCTGCCTGATATTGCTGAGGAGGGAGTTCCAGCCAAGGAGCCACCACTGAGAAGGCCCTGTCTTTCATTCCCATCAATCGCGTTTGCGAAGAAGGTGGGATCTTAAAGTTCTAGTAGGTTCATAGGAAGAGATGCGCTCAGACAGATAAGTTGCACCAGAACCATTAGGGCTTCATAGGCCAAGATCAGCACTTAAAATTGGGCTTGGTAGCATATGGGCAGCCAGTGGAGCTGTTGCAACAGAGGAGTTGGGTGCTCCCTGTATGCTGCTCCAGTTAGAAGTCTGGCTGCTGCCCGTTGGACCAGTTGACAACACACAAATAGCAAGGAGCATACTATGGTAGATTTTTGCTGTCACATAACAATTATGCACAATGTTATTATTATTATTATTATTATTATTATTAAATAATAATTTAATAATGAATGTATCATTCATCCCATCTAATATGTCACCTTTTCTAATGATGCATCCCCATTCTAGGAAAAAGCTATTCCCTGTCTTGATGTTGACAAACTGGAATGTGTCCAGAAGAGGGTGACCAAAATTATTAAGGGTCTGAAGAACAAGCCCTATGAAGAGTGGCTTAAAGAGTTGGGCATGTTTAGCCTAAAGAGAAAGCTGAGAGGAGACAAGATGAGGGCCGTGTATAAATACGTGAGAGGAACTTATAGGGAGAACGGATAAGCTTGTTTTCTTCTGCCCTGGAGACTAAGATGCAGAACAATGGCTTCAAACTACAGGAAAGGAAGTTCAACCTGAACATGAGGAAGGACTTCCTGACTGTGAGAGCTGTTCAGCAGTGGAACTCTCTGCCCCAGAGTGTGGTGGAGGCTCCTTCTTTGGAGTTTTTTAAACAGAGACTGGATGCTTTGAATGAGATTTTCCTGCTTCTTGGCAGGGGGCTGGATTGGATGGCACACGAGGTCTCTTCCAACTCTAGGATTCTATGATACCAACTCCTGGTCCATAATTTGGTTTCCCCCTGACATTAAGTCCTGTTGTGTCCGATTCTGGGGGTTGGTGCTAAGCCGAAGAGCCGGCGTTGTCCATAGACACCTCCAAGATCATGCAGCCAGCATGACTGCATGGAGCGCCGTTACCTTACCGTCAAAGCTGTACCTATTGACTACTCACATTTGCATGTTTTCGAACTGCTAGGTTGGCAGAAGCTGGAGCTGACAGCAGAAGCTCATGCTGCTCCCTGGATTCGAACCTGCGACCTTTCGGTCAACAAGTTTAGCAGCTCAGCAGTTTAAACTACTGTGCCACTGGGGATCCATAGTTGGGTGTATCATATGAGAAAGTCTTGCAAAAGCAAATCACACTTTATTTCCACAGCTGCTCAAAATCAAGACATGAAGCAAAACCTGCCTGAGGGAGAAAGACTGGTTTCTGTCCCCTTGACTTTTCCTTTGGCTGCAGCTCTATTCCAAAGGATGAATTGGGGACAGGTGGGATGATCCAAAGTGATTGTGAATTACAATTAAGGTTCAGGATACAACCTTCATTCTAATAAATGATTTCAGTGTTAAGCAAAGCAGAACTGCCTGCCTGCATGTTATCCTGCTGGACTGTATTTATTATGAAATACAGTCTTCCAATTTGGAGTCTCTTTTGCAAAACACATGCACAGGCCTACACACCACACTGTATATGTCACCCGTAATGGCAACCATCTGCAAGCAATATCTCTTTTGCTTTGTATCTCATTAGGCACAAAGTCCTCCTCGCTTCATCTAATCAAGCGCCAAGTGCTGCATTATTTATGAAAGAAAGCTGAATTTCATTAAAATGCTCACAGGGGCGGCCTGCTTTATTTTATTTTTAAATAATCAATTCCTCCATCAATTCGAAATCCGAGACATTCGCACTAAGAGTTGGCTTCCCTTCATAATTAGAGCAAAAGACCCGAAAGAAACAGTGCAATTCATTATCCTCGTAGGGGAGGAAAGATGGAAATAATACTTTAAATCAGGTTTGGTTTTTGATTTCTGTACAAAAGAGAAGCCGGATGTTTTCTTGGGGCAAAATGCATTATTCAGAAGATTCCTCCAACATTGCCACTTCGATTGTCAGGATAAATTTAGGCAGCCAAGCCTTGAACTCTTCGAGGTATACATAGCACAAAACTGCTGCTACCAATTATTCTGTTCTCTCTCCTTCCCGAGACTTTACTGTTGAGCTACCTCCATTCTCAACGGCGATATAATAGCAAAGTTTCTTTAGCTGCTGAAAATGGGTAATTTGCAGCTTCAACACAAAAATATATCAAATCCAAGGCAGAAATTAGATTTTTAGTTTTCAGAAAACAGCCATCCGTCAATGGAAGGCATTTATATTGTTGTGAATATTCTCAAGACCTGCCTCTCGTGTGAGATCTCTGTTACTCTGATGGCAGCAAGATAACTCCAAAATCAACGAGGATGGACCGAGAGAAAGGAGGAAGAGGTCGTCATGGAAACCTGCTAAAATCCAGCAAGGATGTTA